TTTATTATGAAACATTCCTACCCAAAATCCTGGAAAAATGACAAAGATGGAGCTAGTCACAGAATGTTCCATCTCTGTATCAACCCCTTCCAATCCCCACACCAAAGGTTTTGTTACAAATCAGAGATTCTACAGATTCCTATCTCTTATTTCAAAGAGTTCTTTATTTTGGGCGGTATACAGAGACACATTTGGATAGCAAGCAATCCACTCTGCTGTCTGCAGGATAGTGTCCTACCAGTCTGCACGGTAGGGTGGGATGCTTGGCATGTTCTGGTTTCTGTCAGGCATCATGAAGACATCAGTGCAGCAGTCAAGCAGGAGCAGAAGGGCAAGACATAAGGTAGTAGGCGCTAAAAGTTGTTGCTTTAGCTCAGATGGCTTTTCCTGTACAATCAGAAATGTAGGGTCTGAAGTTACAGAGAGTTTTTTTCATGGACTTCAGTGTCAGCCAGGCTGGACATTCATTGCTTGATCCTGCATCTTGCCCATCAATGGGAGCTTTTTCATTGACTTGAATGAGTGCAGGCCCTTTTTGCTGAAATAAATGATATACTAACAGAAGTAATGTTTTGGGGAGCAAGAAAACTCATGTGAGCTATAGTATTTGTAATAGGTGGTCAGATGTTTCAATATCCGAAAACAAAATTACATAAAGAAAACATGGCAACTCTGAAAATCACCCCATATCATCATGTCTTCCTTGGTAGAGAATGCCAAAGCTGATAGAAAACTACCTTATAATATGTAAGGGTAAGATTTGGAATCCCTGACTTGCCATGGTGAACAGCTATGCATATAGGTAGTTGGACTCACTGTGATTCACTTTGTGTCACTGCACACCAGTATGAATAAGGGGCTCACAGCCCGGCCCAGTGCATACTCTGAATGAATTAAAAAAATATTCACTGAGCTGTGATTAGGAACCCAGTCCTGCTCACATCCCATGATCGAGGGCAAAACTTCCATTGACTTCCAGGGAAGCCGGCTTGGGTTCTAGATAATAATCCCCAATAGGTTTGCTTACACAAAGAGAATTTACCTACAAATTATATAGATTCTAATATTTATTACAATCTTTATATTTTATTTATGACTTTAGAAAAGTGATTTTTATAAATAGCCATAATTGTAACTGTATAAATAAAATTAAGTTCTACCTTAATGTTTCAGAAATGTTCATCAAATGCTTGCCAGAGGGACGTTTTCCATAATTTGCCACTGCCCGGGAGTAAATGAACTCATTTGATCACCTAGAGATGGTCCATCTCATTCTTAGGTTACTTAAAATAAAGATGAATGGTATAATTAAGAGCATTGTCCATTGTTCCTCTCTTTTTTTTCTGATCCAAAGGCACACACACACACAAAAATCATTTTTGAAGCCAGAATAATGTGGTTTTCTTCAACCTGGCTAATGAAAACATTTTAATTTCCCATACAGTTGGGTTACTGAAAGTTTTGTTCCTTTATTGAAATTCCATTTACTGTGAAGCTAAATATTTTTCAAGGCCCAGAAACATAAACTAAATAACTAGACATACATTTTGCTAAGCATTAAAATCAAGATTCAACAGTCCCTATGTAAATAAGATTTGCAAGAAATACCATACTAATGAAGAAAAATATATTTCTTGCCAATATTTTGTTTTCAGATAATTTCCTGAGTACATAAGACATTCACACTATGGAAACCGTGGTGGCAAGATTTATTTATTATAATGAAACTTTGTAGCAGCACAGTGGCTTTGCTACTGGCATTTCACTTTCTTAAAATTAACATCTTTTAATTGTTTGAATTGAGTTTTTAACAGCAAACACAACACAATAAACATTCCAGTCTGATGAGTCCTGCCATATGAATACTGGTATATATGCTGATTTGTATTCCAATGCATTTGAAATTCCACAGTCCAGTACAAGTGGGGAAAAAAACCACTGTGTTTTAAGGCTGTCCTCTAGCACCCACTCAAAGCATGAAATCATTGTGCTATTCATTGCTGCTTTGCTTTGTTGAAAATGTTAGCTTGCTCTTTTCCCCTGGAGCCAACAAATTAGGCACAAACTTTTATATCTCTGCACAGAACAAGTGAAAGTGGAGATATGCTAAATGTTTCTAAAGAGATTTGCATTTCTGAGTTCTTGAGCTTTCTCTTGCTTTGTGAGGGATGTAATCCTTCCTGGGAGTTGAACCAAAGGCCCTCAGATCCGACACAGTAGCACTATTGCCTACGCTAAAGGGCAAAGTACTTAAGGGTGGATTAATAAAGTGCAGTTTGAAGAGCAGTCTAAAGCCACTTAGTATGCACCTGTAGCAGTATCCATGCCAAGCATGTAGGGCACGATCCTACTTCCATTCAAGTCAAATGAAAAACTTTCATTGACTTCCTTGATGCACTTGAGGAACTCAGGATGTTTGTGTGCTCTTTATCAGTGTGTTAAAGGCTCAGCAATAGTTGAGGGTTATGTCCTCTACTGTCTAGAAAACTGGAAGAAATTCCCACTTAGTGTTACTGAGTTTAACACCTTCTTTCAACCCCGGTCTGGCCCCTCTAAACCCAGGCTCTTCCCAGGTCTGCACAGTCCCTTGCCCACATAGATTCTGACTCTATTGAGAGCCCATCTGGGGGTCTTAGGAAGTGTTAGATGGATCACCATTCTGCATAAGGCTGGGAAGATGCATGCCCCCTTTATGTACAGATTTGAGAGACGTAATCTGGCCTTTAGCTTCTTGTAAGGGGTTTCAGCTGAAATCTAAATTAACTGACATTTTCTACTAATCATGATTAGATTGTAATTTTCAAAACAAAATTTCATTTGAATAAAAAACAAGTTGTTTTTAAACCAAAGGAAGGCAATTGTTCTAAAAAAGGCAAAGGCCCTGATCCGCAGCTGTGGCTTCCCCAATCCTGGGTCAATTATGTGATTGGTGAGCAATATAGTGGAACAGTTCCCCGGTTAATCTAAAACAGCTTTCAACGTTGTTTGAGAACAGTTCTGTGATGGCTACTGAGGATCACTGGATTGCAGGAAAGCCATGACCACGTCCCCTCTACTTCGTTGTATGCTGGTGATCCTTTTGTCTCCAGCTAAGTATATTTTATAATCTTAGCCTATGCTAAGTAGGCCTGATTAACACACATCTTGGGCTGCTGCATTTGATTGTGTTCCCCAATTAATTTCCCTTCCCACAGGAATATGATAGTGCAGACAACTGTAGCATCATACAAATGGGCTGAGGTCAGGTGGGTTTGCCCTCAGAGCAGATAGTTGGGGAGAGTGGGGACCAGGCATCTGGATCAATCCTCATTTGGGGAATAAGTGGCTAGCAGCTGGGATGGGATCTGGAGAGTCTGCTGCTGTCGGGAGTGGAAAGCAACCAGACCTTGGACAGCAATGGCTGGGAATCCCATCTGTGCCAAGTTCTGAGAAGCTTCCCATGTGATGTTTAACACATCTGAGTTAATTTGCATGTTTGTAAATAAGTTGCGAATAACCCTTAACCTCAGGTTTAAAGACATTTGTGGATTTAATTCTGGTGAAAGATGTTAGATTGACAGCCCTTGTGAATTAAGTCCTCTTTTTATCTCTAGAGCAGCATCCAGACAGGTTCCCCACAAAAACTGTTCCTCTAACATGCTTCAACCCTGATATAGAGGAAGACTTACCCTAGAGGTGGCAAGGGTAGTTCAGTATCCATGGCCATGCAATTCGTTGCCTTTCTACTGAGTTTGCCAATCAGTGAAAAGTGTGCTGGTAAGGTTTATGATATAATAAACACATCTCATATAGGGACCACCATTCGAAGACAACACATTTTAATCCCAAGTGAGCTGGTCTGGATTCAAATGGGTGATCTACAGGTGAAAGTAGCTCAGTCATTAACAATGCCCTGGCTCACCCATTCCCCCAATATGTATTAATTTAAGAAGGTGTCCTATATATACATACATGTATGTGG